GCCGCATTCACTTTCCCGCTTCTTTACGCGCGCCACGCAAACCATATTACATAAACAAATATTTCAATTAAGCCCGTTATTTACCACCGCTATCGCATGATACCAGAGCTTTCTTTAATATAGTGAAGTGATCGCCTTCTGTGTGCTTAGTGCGAGTTTATTAAAGTTCTCGATAGCGTAAAAGTTAAGCCAATTTTGTATGCAGTTGGAACAGCGCCCCTAGCGGCAAACGTACGCAAACGATCCCATTCCATACAAATATGAGTTAACTTTTACGTTATCGAGAACGTTAAAAAACTCGCACTAAGCACACTGTTCACGAGAAACCATTAGGAACCCAAGCGCTGGAGAGGATGAGGACTTAGACAACATCAGGTAAGTCACGGCAATTGTAATGTAATTCAGACTGTGTCTTCCCATCTTCACCGAATCTCTAAAATATCTCTGCCGCTTGCGCATCGCTTCATTTATACCATTTGCCAACAGCACACGTGGTGTAGCTATTTACACGCCAAACGTAATCAAACTCTGATAACAGGAGTAATGAATTTCACAATTAGAACCATTTTTACGGCTTAATCTCGAACTGTGTTTTTTTTGTTGTAATTACATTATTTACGATGCTCCTAATCTATATATTTAATACGTGAAGCAAAAACTTTGTATCCCTTTTTACGAAAATTGCGCGCACGGAGGAGTATGAAATTTTCCTCACTTATAGAGAATATAGAGAAGAAGTGCACAATGCTAATATTTTTTTAAAATTATGCATAAAAGATACATTAAATCAATAAATAAAACAATATACACACTACATACCATGTATTTGACGCACACACGCATGCATACTATTTATTGTCAAACTTTTGTTCTTGACGTCTGTTGTCAAATTGAGAATAGATTAAATATTGTTTGTGTTTGTTAATATTTTTTATAGTGTAGTCATGGCGAAATTTGTGATTATAGAAGTATAAAATACAATCATAATAGTGTAAAAACTTACAATTATAATGAATTATAGTCGAATTTCGACTACTGCGGGACCTCTAGTAATGTTTTAATACTTCGCGGACGACTGAAATGAAGCATTTATCCGAAACAAAACAATGACGATGTAAACGCGAAATAAGCCGTAAAAGTAAACTTAATTATGTCTACGGCAAGCGGAAATTGAAGACAATATTATAAAGAATTTCAATATTTGTACATTGTGTAATCGAAAGATCAGTATTCTATATTATATATAAAAATGAATTGCTGTTCGTTAGTCTCGCTAAAACTCGAGAACGGTTCGACCGATTTGGCAAATTTTGGTCTTCAATTATTTGTGGAAGTCCAGAGAAGGTTTGAAAGGTAGATAAATATGAAAATGCTTGGAATTAAATAAAAATAACAATTTTGCCCCGTCAGACGGATTCCTTTTGTTTGTTTTAAGTTTATTTTATACAAAAGTTTAGGTCTTTTATTTATTGATTGAGGCACTACGAAGTCTGTAGGGTCAGCTAGTGTTAAAATCAAATCAAACAATAATACAGTTCGATCCATAAAATTAAATAAAAATCAATGCATGTTTGTATATGCTTTCTTTATTTTTTCGATGGGTGGACAAGTTGACGGTCCACTTAAGTGGTTACCGTAGCCCGTGGACATCTGCAACGTAAATGCTGCTACCAATCTCGACACGTGAGTTCTAAGGTCTCAGTTTTTACAGTGCAGTATTTTTGTGTTAAATACGTTCTTAAATCGTAACGTACGATCGCACGTGACGTAGATACACTAGTAAGTAGTGTTAAACTGATTGCACATCTACTATACTTAATTTTATCTCTACGATCACACTTAGGCACGTATCTAACGCAATTTTACTTCTTTTTTTTTTTTTTTTTATTGCCCTTGTAGGCAGACGAGCATACGGCCCACCTTATGGTGAGTGGTTACCGTCGCCCATGGACTTCAGCAATGCCAGGGGCAGAGCCAAGCCGCTGCCTACCGCTTAATACTCTCCACAAGCCTCGTTTGAAGAAGGACATGTCATAGCGCTCGGGAAATACCGTGGAGGGGAGCTCATTCCATAGCCGGATGGTACGTGTCAAAAAAGATCTCTGGAAACGCACTGTGGATGACCGCAGTGGCAGCAGGTAGTATGGATGAACTCTACTCCGGTGGCGGGCGGTACAATACAGACATGCCACTATAGATTCGCCGGAAAATGAGAAATAGCGTTTTCTGAGTTTAATAACAGTATAGTGGGAGTATAGCAAGAGTAAATACCACTATCCTATCTATTTCCGCGGCAAAGCCGTCACGCATACCGGTTCGAGGATTGGGACGACATATACAATACAAAAAAGTCTTTGAGTCCTGATTGAACAATGCATCAGATGGCCAGTGGGGTTGATCATTCATTTTTTTATCGCCTACATGAATGAACAGGCTCACGGCCTATCTGATGTTACGTGATTACCGGAGCAAATAGACATTACTGGTGGTAGGATCACTTGTGAGTCCGCGCGGGTAGGTACCACCACCCTGCCTATTTCTGACGTGAAGCAGTATTGCGTTTCGGTTTGAAGGGTGGGGCAACCGTTGTAACTATACTTGAGACCTTAGAACTTATATCTCAAGATGGGTGGCGCATTTACGTTGTAGATGTCTATGGGCTCCAGTAGCCACTTAACACCGGGTGGGCTGTGAGCTCGTCAACCCATCTAAGCAATAAAAAAAATCATCAACGCAAATCCACGTAGCGCATAACGTAAATACGCAACAAAATAAATAAAACATAAAAACAGAAAAATGACAACCCTACCACTACCTGTTACTTTTCCATCAAGCTGATGAGATCCGCCAGTCTGCCGTAGCGGAGTTTAAATACGTACTTCAAAGCGTTGAAACATAAACAAATCTACAACGTATCAACCGAGAAAACAACAGCGACAATTACATTCGACCTGGTTGTGGTCGCAAAAGCTGTTAGAATTGTCCTTAACGCATCTTTATATTAACTAGAGGCCCCGCAGTAGTCGAAATTCGACTGGAAATTAATTGGAATGGTAAATTTGTACACTATTATGATTGTATTTTATACTTCTATAATCACAAAAAAACTACAGTATAAAAAATATTAACAAAGACAAACAATATTTAATCTATTCTCAATTTGACAACGACGTCAAGAACAAAAGTTTGACAATAAATACCTATAGTATGCATGCGTGTGTGCGTCAAATACATGGTATGTAGTGTGTGTAATGTTTTCTTTATTGATTTAATGTATCTTTTATGCATTATTTTAAAAAAATATTAGCATTGTGCACTTCTTCTCTATATTCTCTATAAATGTGAGAAATTTCATACTCCTCCGTCCGCGCAATTTTCGTAAAAAGGGATACAAAGTTTTTGCTTCACGTATTAATATATAGATACCAACTGACAGCTGTCACTCGCCTAATATGTGTCAATGTCATTCGTGTGGTCGCCCCTTCTTCTTCCTGCGTCGTCAATGACTACTAAAAACTATCCATGCAAATCTGTGTCTTTTTATAAGAAACCCAGACGATCACTCCAACAAAAGCTACCCACATAGGGCCCGGGGGACGGCGTAATAAAGCTTATTTGTCATTCTTAGACATAGTTCACGGAATTCGTAGGAATCTAAGACACGCGGAAAAATCATTTATCAAAATCATTGCAAATTTATCACTTTGCACTTTGTTTCACTAGCGTAGTTTGTTAAAAGCTTAGCTTACGGTGAGCATTCGTGAACACAGTAAGCCGCTCATATTATAAAGACATTTTCAAAATTTGGCAGTCTATAGACAGACGGATATCCACAAATAAATTACGAAAGATATTGAAAATTGAAAAATTGCTGCCGGTAGGGAGTATTGTAAGCCGGCAGGTAAGTATCACAGTCCTGCCTTTGGGATTTAACACAATTGAGAAATCCGCTTCATGTTTCAAGGCGACTTTCATGATCTAGTTTTTTTTTTATTGCTTAAATGGGTGGACGAGCTCACAGCCCACCTGGTGTTAAGTGGTTACTGGAGCCCATAGACATCTACAACGTAAATGCGCCACCCACCTTGAGATATAAGCTCTAAGGTCTCAAGTATAGTTACAAGTATAGTGTTGATAGGCACTGATAAATCATCATCATACATTCATTCTTCTACAGAAATAAGTTGGTTCGAAAATTTCGTCTGATCATTTCGAATATCATAAAAACTGGAGAAGAGCTGAAGTGTAGATTAATTAAGTTAAAATTACTTATAAAATAAATATAAATTTAATTTCTCTTTTTAATCTCTAATCACGTAAGAAGCTTTAAATCAAAGCCGTAACAGTTGAAGCGGCTGACAAACATGCGATTGAACACTTAAATATGTTGTTCATAGAAAAAATACCGTAAGCGCTCGTGAGCACGAATCGCGTGCATACAAATATCAAAATGAAAATCTATGTACATAATAGTATGTACAGTGTCGCACCTGAGACCTTCAGAATTCCACATGACACCTCTGGATATTAAGAGCTTCCTAATTTACTCTACCAAGGAATGTCTGGGTGTATTACAAATACACGATTTCCGGAAATTCAAGGTGGGTGGCGCCTTTACGTTGTGGATGGCTATGGGCTACAGTAACCACTTAACACCAGGTGGGCTGTGAGCTCGTCCACCCATCTAAGCAATAAAAAAAAATCGAAAAAAATAAATTACTAAAATACAAAACCGCTTAAAAAAAAAAAGTAGGCACANTACCAAGGAATGTCTGGGTGTATTACAAATACACGATTTCCGGAAATTCAAGGTGGGTGGCGCCTTTACGTTGTGGATGGCTATGGGCTACAGTAACCACTTAACACCAGGTGGGCTGTGAGCTCGTCCACCCATCTAAGCAATAAAAAAAAATCGAAAAAAATAAATTACTAAAATACAAAACCGCTTAAAAAAAAAAAGTAGGCACAAAGAACAGATCGTAATTTAAAAGAAAACTTACGTTCGAAGTTCAAACGCTCACTAAAACAAACAGGAATCCCACACGCATACACACCCACACACACTCAACGGCACAATGTATTTCTATTTCAGTGTTTCAGCGGCCACGCTCTCTGTGGAAAGCCGACGCGCTACTGCCGGGAACCAAGCGACCGGTCACAGATTAAACACCGAGTTGTTTCATCGCAGAAGTGCCACTGTGACAATTGGGCATTCTTATATAATAACTAACCGGACTCGTCCGCTTCGCTGGGCATTTAAAATTAACATTACTATTTTTATTATCATTATTATTAGGGAGTCCAACACTCATATAAATATTAGCCTATCCATTAAGTACATGTATTTTCTACATGGATAGCAAGTTTCAAGTCAATCGGATGCATGGTTCAGTAGTTATAACGGAACATCTGTAAAAACCACTGTAGATTTATATATTAGTATAGATATATACTTTTAAAAACAAAATGCTCTTTATACAAGTAACTCTCCTATAACACGAAAATTTACAACACGGTTCCACTTTAACACGGAAAAAAATTCCCCATTACTCTTTTACAAAACGGTACTTCTACAACACGATAACGAGATTTTTGTTGAAAGCTATTTAAAAAATTACATTATGTACTATGAGCATACAATATATGGAAATAAACGAAATTTTACCACTTATTTTTATGAACAATAGGTACAAACATACAGGCATAGTTTTATTCAGGATAATTACTGTCCTTTTTGTACTGGCTTCTAGTCTCATATAACGCGATTTCGTACAACACGGGAGTTTGTAGAAACATATCTACCCTGCTATAGGAGGGCTACCTGAGTTTTTTAATTTTTTTTACAGCTTACTTAGAAGAATGACGGACGACACCTGATGTTAATTGGTTAATAATCCATAGATATCTACAACGTAAATGTCGCCACCTACCTTGAGATATGAGTTCTAAGGTCTCCGTTTTTACAGCACAACCATGTTCTTAAAGTTAAGGCATTTAATTATTGTATAACTGAACACAGAACATAAAAAATTCATAAGTCATACAAGTCCTTATTTTTTATAGACAGATTGATTAAATTTTATCAATTTGTGGTTTCTGATAATTTACAAAATCCTTAATGAAAAATAAAATATAGGATAGTTAATATGTTACTGCTTTCTACAAGAGGAAAGAGAAATTAATCGAAGCGAAGCCATCTAGTGGCCGACGCCCTAAAACATTTTTGTGGAGTGCTTGAGTTGCTTATCTGTAACTAGTTTATGTGTATTATCTATGGTACAACGACTGCCCCATCCTTCAAACCGAAACGCATTACTGTTTTACGGAAAAAATAGACAGGGTGATGGTGCCTACCCGTGCGGACTCACAAGACGCCCTGCCACCAGTAAATTAATTAATCTGCTCGAAAAAAATGGACAGTAATTGTGTTGGAAGATTACTAAGTTCAGAATTTTACTACGACATAGAGCTGAGTGGCCCAGAGGCTTTGTAGCTCACCCGGGGCCGGACAGACGCACGATCTAGAAGGATCAGCCAATAAAGTATTTTAGTTTGCGGTATTGACGCAGGTTCAAATATCGAAATATTGTAATGATGCCTGTTGTCTTGTTTACGTTTCGTTTAGAAAAATATTATTGCTTTGACTAGAGTGGTAGTTTCTGTCATTGTCATTTTGTGATGCATGGAGTTGCATGCAGGTATAGAAAAAAATTTGGGCATTTTAAATAAAAGATAAAAAAAAATAACAACTCGCATTATCCTTATCGAAAACGAGTTGAAGCACATAAAACTTTAATGAGCCCATACCACGCCTTGTTTTAACATGGCCAACGATAAAACTATGTTTCAATGAGGTTATTAAAAGTTATCAAAATAGAATTCACATCTTTATAGACATAATAATGTTTATATCACGAATTTTATTGGTGATCAAAAGTGAGCCTTTAGCGTCAGTTGTGCTCAAAATTAGCGGTTACCGGCTTTTGGGCGTGAACTCAGCAATGGTGCTCGCCTTAGAGAATATAATACTTTTTCTAGAAATGTTTCTGAAGAAAAGTTACTTTTCTTTTTTTCTTTTCTCTCTTTACTACATTCTAATTCTTCTTCTACTGTAGTTAATAGACCTTTTCCACCCACAGAGTGAGTGAGATTTTTTTTAAATCATAATGTTGAAGTTTCAGTGCCTTCTTTTCTTTTTCTTTCCTTACAATGGCCTTCTAAAAGCTTGAACGAGCATAATTACCAAGGTCAGGCAATAGGCCCTCTTAGAATCTAAAATAAGTCGTAAAAATACCATTAACGGTCAATCTACATCTTTTTAATGGTTCAATTGCTTAACATTTAATCATATTATTACACATTAACGTGATATTAATATTTTTTTCCAGAAATATTAGCTGGTAGCCTAACGGGTTATTCCACCTGGATGGGTAGATGAGCTCACGAGCTCAACCTGAAAGAATTTGCTTACACTAGCCCTAACAAGAGCAATGCTTTACAGAATCTATCATCCGCCAGGATAGCGACCCAACGCGGAAACTCAGCGAGCTGTGATTTTAGAACAATTTTTATACTTTTCAAATGTCCAAAGTAATCCTTCTCAGAGACAACAATTACATCTGTAATTGTTCACGTCTCCATTAAATATTACTCTATGCGAAGGCTTTCATTCTCCGTCCTTGTCGTGGCGAAGCGAGTTATTGCTTTTCTCTTTCCCACGCATACTTAAACGATTGACGCAAGTTCACGGGAAAAATGGTCTAAAGTCCGCTCAAGGCTCTTCCCGTATCACTGAAAATTATGTCATTTTTAATGAAAAAAAAATATTTGAAAGTCACAATTGAGTTAGCTGTAATGTAATGAGAATTTAAGATTTTTTAAAAGCTATTTTGAGGCGTGAAAGACTATTTAGTTTTAGAGTCATGTCGGTAAATTTATCTATATATCGACGCTTGAAAGGCAAACGTGACTAAGCGACAATGCGTGAACTTTACAGTAGACTAATTTAAAGTTGAAATACCTGAAAACAAAATTTATTTTAACGAATCTAGCTGTAGTAGAATCTAGCTAGTAGCTGTAGGATTGAAATGTTTTTATTAGACCTAGAAATATATTTTTTTTGCGTATCGAATATGGTTATTGCCTATAATTTAGGTACAAAGCAGTTATTGTCGCTTAGTCATGTTTGCCTTTCAAGCGTCGATATATAAAAATGAATTGCTGTTTGTTAGTCTCGCTAAAACTCGAGAACGGCTGGACCGCTTTGCCTAATTTTGGTCTTGAATTATTTGTGGAAGTCCAGAGAAGGTTTAAAAGATTAGATAAATATGAAAATGCTCGGAGTTAAATAAAAATAACAATTTTGTTTTTTTCTTTGATGTGTCCCCCGTCGGACGGATTCCTTTTGTTTGTTTTAAGTTTATTTTATATAAAAGTTTTGGTCTTTTATTTATCGATTGAGGCATCACGAAGTCTGCCGGGTCAGCCAGTTATATCTTATTATAAATGAATACGACAGTGAATACTTAGCATGACCACAAGGTAAATTTAGGCCATCATCTAAGTAATGCGTTTCGGTTTGAAGGGTGGGGTAGCCGTTGTAACTATACTGACACCTTAGAACTTATATCTCAAGGTGGGTGCCTCATTTACGTTGTAGATATCCATGGGCTCCAGTAACCACTTAACACCAGGTGGTCTGTGAGCTCGTCCACCTATCTAAGCAATAAAAAAATATACATTTTATACTACACGTATGTAAACGTTAACTTTAAGATTAACTCTGTAACGTTAGCTTTTTTAAATAACGTAGATTCATAAACAAGGTCGCAGTGTACCTAACTGTAAGCGTTTACTAGAACCCATACACAATGCTAATCTTAACTCTCACCTATGATATAAAATCAAAGTATCAATTAGTCACGGGCTTAAAAAAAATCAGAGTAAAGTCAACTCTGCGTCTACCACCGCAGACTCTTTTGGAAGCTCATTCGAAGAAGAAGCGTAAAGAAGACTGCCAATTCCAGAGCATTTTTTATATTAATGTTATATTGCGCGTGTGTGTTAAATGGCACGACATGAGAACCCTCTTGTCATGGCCGCTGGAAACTACATACCCGATCCTGTAGACCGAATGGTAAACAGTCGACGTCGCCCAAAACACGTCATTACGGATCCTCCCGATTCATTAACGGTGCTTTTAGGTACCACAAGCACCGGTCACCGTACTCGTCTAACCCGTCGCTTGCAACGCTCGACTAGTGAATTAACCCATAGACACAGCCCACTGAGTTTCTCGCCGGATAGATTCTGCGAAGCACTGCTCTTGTTAGGGCCAGTGTTAGAAAAACTCCGGTTTGAGCCCCGTGAGCTCACCTACTAGTTAAGGTTACGCTGAAATAGCCTCTCAAGGCTATCAGATTAGGTAGGAAAAAAAACGTGTAGTTGCCAACTTTTGCCAGCTTAAAGTAAACGATTCGCATCAATATTAAGCCATCGCTGCCCGTTGGATTGGGTCTTGTTCTTCCTATTTGACCCGATCACCGGGAAAATCACTCCACACACGGCATTTTAGTCAAGATAAATTTTTCACTTTAATCTTAAGGGTCGGTCGCTTTTATCCGAGGTACTTAACCGAGCGGCCGGACAAAGGGTACTTACTCTAAGTTCATATAAAATGGAAAATAAATATATAGGTATGTATGTAGTCTGAAGTCACTAAGAACTATGCGTAGAGTAATTTCATTAAAGTTTGATGCGAAATGTCGATATGGTATGCGATATGTTGTTTAGGTTGGTGGACGAGCTCATGGCCCACCTGATGTTAAGTGCGTACTGGAGCCCATAGAAACCTACAACGTAAGTGCCGCCACCCACCCTAAGACATGAGTTCTAAGGTCTCAGTATAGTTACAGCGGCTGCCCCTCCCTTCAAACCGACACGCATTACTGCTTCACGGCAGAAATAGGCGGGGCGGTGGTACCTACCCGTGCGGACTCATAAGACGTCCTACCACCGGTAATTACGCAAAATATTATTTTGCAGGTTTTTATTACACGATGTTATTCCTTCACCGTGGAAGTCAATCGTGAACATTTGTTAAGTACGTATTTCATTAGAAA